AAATTGATCATTGTCTCACTAATAGAAAGATGTAAAAGGCTGGTCAACCTTTAAGCTCTAAAAAATCAGAGCCAACCACTATCTATCTAATTAAGACAGTGGTAACTGAAGCAACTTCCCCACAAATAATCACATAAATCCTTATTGATAAAATAATCTTACTGTTACTGGAATTACCTAAGAGCAATGGGTGTATTCCAAACCTTTATAAATGGAATGGCAAGGCCAAAGCAAGGCATACCATGTTTCCCCGAAAATAAGACATCCCCCAAAAATAAGACCTACTTACAGGTTTCCTTCTGAATGAAATATAAGGCATCTCCCAAAAAATAAGGCCCCCCTAGGCTAAACATGAGAGATTTGGTCCACTGATTCTGAAAGAAATGGAGTCACAAGAAATTCACCAGGAAATTCAGGAATTGGATTGTTTTGATGATGTTCCAGAAGATGATGACATGATTGTCAATGAATAAATGAGTAAATTCTTCATACTGTAGGATTCACACTTTGTCTGGTTTGTGTTGACAACTACCGTACTACCGTACCGTACACAGGTAATAAATTTCCTTTATTTTCATTTAACAATAACTGTGTACCGTATTCGTCTTATGGAAAAATAAGACATCTCCTGAAAATAAGACCTAGTGCATCTTTGGGAGCAAAAATTAATATAAGACACTGTCTTATTTTCGGGGAAACAAGGTAGTCCTCCCACTAGAGGTGGGCTCCCACCTGGCCCCCAATATTCCCAAATTAATACTTTTCTAGTCTCTTTCATTTGTGTGCGGCCTTCCCCAGAACCCGAACCCTGAACCACGCAGGATGTGAAAGGGGTTCCCACAGTCTAAAATTATCAATGGAAAAATATCCTTAGGTAGAACTTACTTAAATTTTTAAAAATGTATTTATAAATAAATAAGAGAAGCCAGGCATAGAAGGTATGTAATGCATGTTTCTACTTATTAGTATATGAAATGTCCAGAATCGGCAAACCCGAAAAACAGAAAGTAGGTTAGTAGTCGCGTAAGGTTGAGAGAGTTGGGAGGAAATGAGGAGTTAATGGTTGTGGGGTTTCTTTTTGGGGTGATGAAAATGTTCTAAAATTGATTGTGGTGATGGTTACACTACTATGAAGATACTAAAAACTACTGAAATATGCACTTTTAATGAGTAAACTGTGTGGTGTGTGAATTATATCTTAATAAAGCTGACATTTTTTTAAAACTTCTATAACTTTAAACTTTTACCTAATTTCTACTAGTCTTCATCTCAATGGAAAAGTGCTTTGTTTAAATTTGAAATCATGAATTTAAGCACTTTTATGCTTAAGGCCAAAAATGTTAACTTTTTAAAAGCTTTTAATTAAATTAAACTCTACCTTAACTGATAAGCTCCACAGATCACACTACTTTTACTCAAACTTCACAATACCCTATAATGTACTGGTGAATTCATCTTTTACTAGTGTATTAGCTCCATTTTCTTTTTTCCACTCTAGCTATGCAGTCCTATAGAATCATTATTGTGTATTATGGTTAGGAAATATAAATGAATTGTTTGCTGGGGAAATGAACATATAAAAATATTAGACAGGAATGAAATGCTAAATTAACAAATAACCGTTCCCAATCTACACACATCAATTTTTCAGTATGCTGAAGACTTGGGGAAGTTTTAACAGAAACTCATAAACTAAAGATTTGGAGTTTGATGAGGCCTCTCCTTACACATGTCATAAGGTCTTACTTCTCTCCAAGTCTGGTCCCTGAACCAGAGCAGCAGCATTTCCTGGGAGCTGATTAGAAATGCAGAATCTTAGACCCCGCCCCAGACCTACTCAGCCAGATTCTGCATTTTAACAAGATCCCCAGGGGATGTGTCTGCTGCACATTCAAATTGGAAAGGCACAGTCCTAAGACACTTCCTTTTCTTTTTCCATTAAGATAGCTCTAGCTTGCTGGACTAATATTTCAAAACCTGACGTACATACAGCTCTGGTCCCGGGCCAGCTTGTCCTCAGTTCCATTCCTCATCTGCTCTATTCCAAGTGGTGGAGGAGCTGATCTTTGCAGGCTGGGTTTCCCATGCAGGAATGGGGATGGGGTAAGTTCCCAGCAGCAGCTGTCTCTTCCCAAAGGCTCCAGCCCCTGCCAGGCAACTTAAGGTGGTTCAGCCTCTGGGGAGCCAGCTATGCCACCTCCTGGAGTCAGCCAAGCCACCTCCTCCCTCTGTCCACCAGCTTAGGGGTAGCAGTAGTTTCCTGTTTGTTGCCTCATCTCAGGGTTGCCTCATTGCCCACTGTCTGCATTCTCAATTCTTCATCACCTATAAAAGCATGCCCTACATTAAATTCCCTCTGTTCTAAATACTTAAAGTGGATTCTGTTTTCCTTTTTTGGGCCCAGAATGATACTCCATGCATTTTAAATATTTCTCTTATGCACCACATACAGCAGAAAATTTTCTGAATGGCTTATTAGCTTAAAGGGGGAAGAAGGGCTGTTGAACATACAGTAAACCTCAGATTTCCCACATTCTGACAATCACTACCTATCAAAAAGAAAAATTAGTCTTAAGCTATTTGTACAGTAGATGTAACTATTCCGAAACTCAAGTCCTCAGAGTGTATTTTTAACACTCTACCAATCACTCCTCAATCAGAACAGCTGGTATAGCAGCTACTATTGTTTTGTTGCAGTTGTTGTTTTTGGGAGGAGGGACCCATCTCCAAAGAACAGATGGGTCAAACACTGGAATCTCTGAGAGATCAAATCTTAATCACACTTGTAAATCACATGATCTTCCCTACACTAGAAAGATAACATGCTGGAGGACCCATCAACAGGAGAGGGCAACTGCTATCAATACTGATTAAGGTTACTTGGAGATCTTCCTAAAAACACATCTGACCAAGTCACTCCCAAACTGTGAATAACCCTCTGTGGCTCACTCTAGCCCAAGGCCAAAAAACGCCCTTCAAAATCTACCTTTCCCATCTCCTCTTCCTAATTCCTCTCAACCTGATGCATTCACCTTCTGACCATCCCCAGGTGTGCTTAAACAGAACAGTAAACTCTGTGGAAAGCCCTTCCTTCCCCCACTTAGCCTGGCAAACCTTTTCCCTCAAGATCCTGTCGTAAAGGGGACCTCCTTATCCATGCCTCCCAGGATAATTGGATTCTCAGTCCTAGGAGCTTCCACACCACTTACCCTGTTTCCCCAAAAATAAGACAGTGTCTTATATTAATTTTTGCTCCCAAAGATGCGCTAGGTCTTATTTTCAGGGGATGTCTTATTTTTCCATAAGAATACGGTACATATTTATTGTTAAATGAAAATAAAGGAAATTTATTACCTGTATATGGTACAGTAGTACGGTAGTTGTCAACACAAACCAGACAAACTGAATCCTACAGTATGAAGAATTTACTCATTTATTCATTGACAATCATGTCATCATCTTCTGGAACATCATTATAACAATCCAATTCCTGAATTTCCTGGTGAATTTCTTGTGACTCCATATCTTTCAGAATCAGTGGACCAAATCTCTCATGGTTAGCCTGGGGGGGGGGCTTATTTCCGGGGGGGGGGGGGGGGGGGGAGGGATGCCTTATATTTCACTCAGAAGGAAACCTGCAAGTAGGTCTTATTTTCGGAGGATGTCTTATTTTCGGGAAAACACGGTATTTTGCCCTACAGTCAAGTACACAGGTGTCCATTTCCTACAGACTGGGAACCCCTGGGTGGAGAAATGGCCTTCCACCTTGGTATTCCGACCAAGGTTCCTATCCAGGTCCACATTTACTACCTGTGATACCCTGTGCAAGCCCCTTAACTTCTCTGCCTGGATTTCCAATTCCATAAGTCCCAACTCCACGAGCTATCACCAGTACTAAAAGAGCTAACCCACGTCAAGTGCTGTCAAGTTAACCCAAGAAAAGTGCCTGGCACATAGTAAGCACTGACGACTTGCTATCGTTTTGATAGTTAACACTATTACACATGGAACAAAAGAGGTGTTCAATGCCTATTTGCTGGATAACTGGAGCACATCACACTAACCCTGCTTTGGTAGCATGCCGGGGCTACCCATTGAGAGAAATGGCTCCCCCCGGTAAAAGTTAACAGCTGAACTTAACTGGCCCGGGGACAAAGCGCACTGCAGCAGGAGGAGGAAGTCGGTGCCAGCTGGATCTGCCGAGGCTGCCCACAGACCAGCCTGCCCTCAGCCACCTGCCCAGCCACCTGCCCGAGGAAGCCGTGCTCTAACAGTGAGGGCCCCCCTACAGCAAAAACCAGAAGCAGTTCTCAACGGGAACCGCAACGGGAACACAAAGGGTGCGACTCTCCTCGTGCAGAAAGGAAATGCATCTTTCTGCAGCAGCTCATAGTTGGCGTCTGGAGCTCTCCGTGGAGATCTAGGTGCCAAGCAGGTGCACAGCCAGGGAAAACCCCGTCTCCGCTTTCCCGAGGGGAGAGGGAGAGGCGGTCACCAAACGGAATTCCCATCCCTTCCCTTTACGAGTGCAGGGACGAGCCTCCACACCGGCATCCAATTGGGTTTTTTTATGAGGAGACCACAGGTGAGTGTCTGCAGAGGACCCAGCGAGAAATGGCCTGACCAGTTATCAGGAACCGGTAGAACCCCAGGCTCCGGGAGTGCACGCGTGGGGCGCAACCAAGCGCCCCCATTTCTGGTGCGCTCGACCCCCGACCCCGCCTCTAGGCCTGAGTTTCCTCCCGGACTGGGCGGCGCGGGGCTTCCTCTCAGCCCCCGCCCCGCGCGGCGCCCACCTGCGCCCCGGCCCAGGGTCCCCGCCGCCGCCAAGCCGGGAGGCGCGCTCAGCCCGGGAGCCCAGCCCGTTACCCGGCGGAGCGCGCTCCGCCCCGGCAGCTGGACCCCGGGCCGGGCCTGGGCGGCCGCTCCGGCCGAGCTGCGGGCCTCACGGGGCTGCCTCGGCGTGAGGGGCGCGCTCCCGGGCCGCTGCCGCGTCTCACCTTCTGGCGGATCTGGCCCGACGTGGACACCTTGCGGATGAGTTTCTGCGGAGAGCCGGGCTCCGCCTCGGGCTCGCTGTCCGACGACTCCTCGGGCGGCGGCGGCGGAGGCTGCTGCGCTGAACCCGGCGAAGGGGCGCCCGCCGCCGCCGCCATGCTGCCCGGCCAGCGCGCGCACGGCGGCTGGGGGCGGGCGGGGGCGGGGCGTGGTGGGCGGGGCCTGTGTTGGCGTGGGCGGGGCCTGTGCTGGCGGGGGGCGGGGCCGGGCCTAGGAGGGCCTCCCGCTCTGTCCCTCCGCCTTTGGACCGCACCCCGCCCCCATATTGGTGTCCAGAACCCTGATCTTAGCATCTGTTTGTCTTCCTAGGACACAATTTCCGTTTTGTTTTGTTTTGTTTTGTTTTGTTTTGTTTTGTTTTGTTTTGTTTTTCTATCCATGCTCACTTTTTCTTAATCTTTAACCTTCCCCTTCAATAATGTAAGTGATGGGGCTGGGGGGTAAAAGGGAAGGGTGAGAATGGGAAATATCTGTAATATTATCAATAATAAAATATTTTTTTAATTTATTTTTTTTGTTAAGAATCTAAGTGACCTTATGAGACCCCGGACCTGCATTGTGTCGCCAGCATCTAAAGCGGAGTCTAGCTTTTTGTAGTTACTTGCACGATAAAACAGTTGGGCAATGGATGAATGCAGGAGAGAGAAAAAAGTTACTTGGACGGACCTTTGGGATGCCAGAACACAATGCCATCTGAGAAGGCTCCTGGAGAAAATGATGTTTAAGGAAAATGCCAGCAGGAGTTATCTCTAACTAATGGTAACAGGATCCTAGGATCTGTGCTCCAGGCAGAGAGACCAGATCCTGCAAAGGCCCAGAGAGAAGAAAGAACAAGTCTTCAAAAAGAAGAAGAAAAAAAGCAGCAGCTGTAGTCTAAGGGAATGAAAATAACAGGAGGAGATAAGCCTAGGTGAGGCAGGTCAGACAAGACTGTGAATCTGATAATGGGGTGATTCTTTTTCCTGACTCCTGAGGGCAACTGGAAGCTCAGGGAGGGGCTGGGTCACAAAACTGGGACTTGTGAATCCAGCTTTGAGGTAATTAGGGCAGGTAGCTACCCTGGATTATTGGGAGTGGCCGCTGACATAAAGAAGTGGACTCAGGATGGGAGGGATCTGTAGGCAGAAGCAGAGGCCCTGGGCTGAGCTGCAGGGTAGGTTGGTGGACCCCTTCACTTGGGGGCCTGCAGTTGGAGATGAAATCAGTTGAGCTTCTGCTGCCCTATGGAACATCCAGTTGATAAGAGCTTGGTGCCACCTGAGAGGAGAAGATCTTTAGGAGACTGCACAAATAGGTGTCCCCATACGCTTTCAAAAGACTGCTGGAAACAGCTGACCCTGGCCTGCCCACCTGTCAGCCTTCTCTGGCGCCTCCTGCACATGGCAATGCTTTCTAGAGGCAAAACAAATGAAGACCCCCAGAGGCCACAGAGTAGCATCCAGCATGGGTACATGGCCAAGGGAATGGACTCATATACATGGCAGAGCAGGTAAGGGTCTAATTCAGAAACACTCTGGGCAAGCCAAGGGCCGCTGGTATACTATAATCACTAGCTACAGGTGACTACTTCAATTTCAATTAAAATTAAATTTTCAGTTCCTCAGTGATACTAGCCTCATTTCAAGTGCTCAGTAGCCACATGTGGTTTAGAAGCTACCATATAGACAGCACAGATATAGAACATTTCTGTTGTCGCAGAAAGTCCTACAATGCATGAGGACAATGACAGTGTCCTTGTGCTGACCATGGGGGACATGCCAGACACTTGACCAGCAAGTCTAGTCTTCACACAAGCCACACAGATAAGCTTGATGGTCTTATTCTAAAAGGCTTAGATACCTCTCCAAAGGAGTGAGAGAGATAGGATGTATAACCTGGACCAGATGCTCCTTATCAGGAGAGAGGGAGCAGGACTACTTGTGGTGCTCCAGGGGATGAGGCCCTCCTGAGCATGAGCAGCCCTAGAGGAGATGAAGGAGATGAACTTGGTTTTGAACAAGCTGAGTTTGCCGTCCCTGGGTGTGCTGTTGCCTACATGTGTCAGAAGCTCAGGGGACATCTGGGCTTTAGAATCCATCATTTTAGAGGTAAAAAAAGCCATGAGCATGAATGTGAGTACAAATCAGAGTTGGCAGGTAGATACTGTGGCTGGATGGAAGTAGATTTGCGATTCTGAAAAAGTACCAGAAATTGTCACAGCCAAGAGGAACCTAAGGAGATATGACAACTAAATGTCATATGGGGTCCTGGAACAGAAAAAAGGACATTGGGTAATAAACTAAGAAAATCTGAGTAAAGAATGGGCGTTAGTTTAATAATAAAATGTCAGTGTTGAATCATTAAGTGTGGCAAATGTAGCCTCCTCATGTTAATAATAGGGAAAATGGTATGGGCGAGGGACTCTGCACTATTTGTCAACCTTTCTGGAAACCTAAAACTATTTGAAAATAAAATGTGTAATCTTTAAGAGTGTATAGCTTCTTCTGATGAGCAAAGAAGCCATTGTGTTCACTGTAATGGCTGTTCCCTTGGAGATCTCCCTGGAGTGGCAGACCTGTAAGGGCACATTCTCCCCACTGCCGCTTTATGGTCTGAGTCATGCTGTGAATCATCTCTAACAACACGCTGCTCCCTGAGTTTACCCCACCTTCAGGGCATATCAAGGTGGCAATAATAACACACTTCACATCCAACCTAATCCTTCTTCTCGACCTGTCAATGTAGAAGCACACCTCCTGTCAAAAAGAACCGCTTCCCGTTAGAGGAGAAAAACAATGCACTTGAAAACAGGGGGATGGTCTTATTCTCCTCTGAACTAGGGTTATGATTGACATGTGGAGCAGGACATTTATTCACTGGACGTGGTATACAGTTTCCCTGGCCCCTAGGCATGGTGGCAACCTGAACCACCCCTATCCATTTCCAAATGTGTCCAATGCTCCATCTATCCCACCCACCAGGATCAGTAAACTAAACCATTAGGGCTGTGACAATAGATTGGGAGGGAAGTGATGAAACATGTTGAAGGAGTAGGAAAACAGACACTCTAAAAAGAAATTAACTGCACATGTGATAAAACTGTAAGGAACTACAGACACACACACACGCGCACACACACACACACACACACACACACACACACGAATAAGTCAAACTGGGGAAATCTGAGTAAGATGGGTGGATTGTACCAATGTCAATATCCTGGTTAGGGTAGTACTATAGATCTGCAGAATGTTACCCCTTGGGGGACAGGTAACTACATGTAATCTACAATTATCTCAATAAAATTTTCAATTTAAGAAAAAAACTTAAGGGCAGCCATTGTAAAGTCATAAATGCTAATCTCCCCCTCTGACCCTCCAAACACTCATCCACTTCAGCATCAGAAGGTGAATGAAGGTCTGGTTATAGAGTCAGGGAATCCAGACTTCAAATCTTGACTCTGATTCTCACTAGTTGTATGACCTTGGGTAAAGTACATAATATCTCTGAACTGCAATTTCCTCATCCAACAAATAAAATGGCAAGCATTTGTGGAATGATTAGATGTAATATGGAAAATGGCCAGCATCAGGTAGGTGCTCAATACATAGCAGGGATCCCTACTTCTCCAGTCCTTTGGATGTGGCTGCAGAACATTGTCCCAAGTTCCCAGCAACCACTTTCTCCATGTAGCAACCTCAGCTCCTTTGTACCCTGTTTCTTGCACTGCACCTGCCTGGGAAACCTTGGGTCAACATCCGACCTACACACGAACATCCTGTCTCCTGGCAGCAGGGAGTACGCCAGCAGACACAACGCCATGTGTGTGCAGTCCCAGCCAAGTTCCACATCCTTTTTGGGCTGGCCAGCCATGCACTTCCTGCTCCTGCCCCCACACCCTCCCAAGTGACCAACTGCAGGCCATAAACTAACCAGCACCTGGAAATCTGAAAGTCAGCCATTTTGGTACCAAAATAACCTGGAGGGCAAGGACTGTTCTGACCTCTGGTCTCTAGGGACTGGCCTGCTCACTCTTCTCTCTGTCTCTCCCACCCACACAGTTGCAGAGGTCAGGCCTAATAAGGTCCACCCTGACTTAGGATATCCTGGGGTCAAGCAATGCAGGAACCGGCAAACTGCTTCTCTCAGCAGGCACTCTGGGGAAGACTCCCAGGTCCTTGGCTTACCCAAGATCTTAGTGCGAGCCAGAGGGAGGAGTGGCAGCAGGGGAAGGGCTCAGAGGAGTCTGCCACCCTGATCATCCCTTTCCTGAGTATACCAGGAGAAAGGCCTGGGCTGGAGGGGTCACATGCTGTGTCCTCTTACCATGGAAAAAAAAAGAAAGAAGAAATTGGTTCTGACCTTGCAAACCCACAGGCCAAAGGCCCAGTGTTCTTCCTGTTGTTATTATTATTATTATTATTATTACTCTAGAATGAATATTCATCTCTGTCGATATAAGTGCCTCAAACTCAACCCAAGAGTTAAAACCTCACTTTGTGAATGTGGACTCCTGTCCAAAGTCCCCAGATGCTTGGCATCTGGCAGAACCACCCCAGCTCTGGGCACCTTCATGTGCACAAACCTCACACTGCTATCCAGCCCTCTGCCACTGCTCTTGGTGCTGGAGACCTGACCCCAAGTGTCACTCCTTACACAACCCCTCCCATTCACCCTCCAACCTCCCGTGAGTGGGTTGAACTGTGCAGAACTCTCTAAACCCCTTTTATCCTGCTCCTTGGAGCATGGGCCAGAGCTACCCATCCCCCAACTCCCTCCAGGCCACCAAGAGAGCTCTCTCTGCATCATTAGCAGGGCCCCAGGCTGGGAACCACAGGCCAGGAGGGGACTCCGTGAAGAACAGGGCCCTAGCATCACCTTGGTTTTCCCTCCTTCCCCATGAAGCTTCTCCTTTTTCCTTGACACAAAGCACTCCCTCTTTCCCCCAACCCTTCTAAGCCCAATCTCCATGAAGATAGTCTAACCAAGAAGCCTGTCAGGCTTGCAGTGAATCCCCTCTTCTAGGGTAACACGGTCTTAGGGTTGGCTCTGCCATAGTGGACCACAGGGCACTGATCCACCTGACCGAGACCAGAAGCTTCTGGTGCTGAGCCAC